ATTATTTACTGATATTAAACAAGTAACATATGGACTATTATATAATATAAAGAGAGCACTATATACACGTAAATATTAATATACATTTATACATTTAAATTAATCTTTCAAGTACACACACATATGTAAATACACAGTTGAAAGATTAATTTTTTTATTTTAAATATCTAAGACTCAGTTGTGATTAATAAATATATCCAGCTGATCTGAAAATAAACACATGTGAAACGCAAAATACTTAGTTTAAGCCACTGTTTTAATCATTTAAATTAGTTATTTATTTTAAATTTCCTTAACTATAAAATTCAGTGTCTTCAGCTTTACTTTGAACCATAGTTTGTAAAATTAGCGCAAGAAATAATAAGTTATAAGAGTTTTTCATCAGGATGACACCTCACAGTTTATCCATTCATTTTGTTGAGGCTCCTCAACAGAGCTCCAGTGTGAGCACGTTCATGTAGCAACGCGCTAGCCACGCCCAATCCACTAATATATATATATATATATATATATATATACACACACACAGTATATCAATGGACTTTACTTTTTATTGTCAGGTTTTACTTCTTTACAAGCAGGAAGTACACCTGTTAAATGTAGGATTAAAAAATAAAAGGTTTATAAGTCACTTCCTGTTTTCTGAACTGACCGTCTTGCTCCTCTGTGACCTCCTCTTCTCTCCTGACTTCCTCCTCCCTCCTTCAGCCGGCGTGACAGCCTGAGTCTGAGGAGATCCATGGATGAAAACACGTTCTAACATCATTAAATAATAAATAAATCATTTGTGCTCACTCCCAGGGCGGGGAAGCTGTTCTCATCCTGGAGCTGGATGGCCACCAGCGCTGATCTGAGCTCTTCTTCTTCAGCCAAACGCTCCGCCTTCGACAGGAGGGACGGCTCCTCGGAGTCGATGGACTTCCTGCGGGGAACACCGAGCTCGTTACAAAAACCCACTCTGTTCTGATCCAGTTTAACACGGGTTCTGGCTGTCGACCCGCTCTGACCTGCTGGGTTTGCCCTCCCCCTTCTCCTCCACGGCGGCCTGAGGGGGCCACGAGTGCTGCTTCTGCACACGCCCGCCGGAGCCAGGGGGCGGAGCCTGGGACACGGAGGATGACGATGCTGAGGTGGACTTCCCCCGTCCTCGTCCTTTCCCTCGGTCCTCCCAGTCTGAAAGAGTCATGACTTAAAACATTTAGACTTTTAAGATTTTTGTGGATCTTTCACAAATTCTCAGCTGTGTTTTGTGTGAATCATTTTAATATCAGCTGAAGCAACATGCACTGTTTTTGTGACAATTTTAGCTACTTTTTAAGACTATATTTAAGCTAGTTCCAACTTTTTTAGCTATTACAACTAAATTTGAATAATAATTTGAAAATTTTCACTCAGATTTCTTTATCTGTTATTTTGAACTTCTTTCATCTATTTTTAGCTTCTTGTTGCTAATTTTAGCTACTTTTTGGACCCATTTTTTCCATCTTTCTCTTGATTTTCACTTTTCTACAAAAATCAGCAGGTTAAAATCAACTCCCATTAACAGTTTTGCTATTAAACCTTCTCGGCTCAACTTCAACTGAGTCGGGTCAGAACTTTATCAGAACCGAAGAGAGACTCGTTTCAGAACCAAACATGAGGTCATGTCTGGGGCATGCAGGACTCTGAAGGTCCAGGATGCAGAGCTCAGCAGCTCATTTAGAAAAAAAGCAATAAAAGTGGAACATATTGGATTAATTTCAAAGTAAAACTGTAAAATATTCAAACTATAGTAAAGCCCATATGAGGTGCGGGGCAATTTAAGGAAGTATTTTTAAACACTAGAACTTGTGACTAAAATGAATGAATTAAATCGTAGAGACTACGGTCCTGGGTGAGCTCAGAACCTCTCCTTCACGTTCAGTGACTGGAGCTAGCTGAACGACTGGAGCTAGCTGAACGACTGGAGCTAGCTGAACGACTGGAGCCAGCTGAACGACTGGAGCCAGCTGAACGACTGGAGCTAGCTGAATGACTGGAGCTAGCTGAATGACAGGAGCTAGCTTGAACGACTGGAGCTAGCTGAACGACTGGAGCTAGCTGAATGACTGGAGCTAGCTGAACGACTGGAGCTAGCTGAACGACTGGAGCTAGCTGAACGACTGGAGCTAGCTGAACGACTGGAGCTAGCTTGAACGACTGGAGCTAGTTTGAACGACTGGAGCTAGCTTGAACGACTGGAGCTAGCTGAACGACTGGAGCTAGCTGAATGACAGGAGCTAGCTGAATGACAGGAGCTAGCTGAACGACTGGAGCTAGCTGAACGACTGGAGCTAGCTGAATGAATGGAGCTAGCTGAACGACTGGAGCTAGCTTGAACGACTGGAGCTAGCTTGAACGACTGGAGCTAGCTTGAACGACTGGAGCTAGCTTGAACGACTGGAGCTAGCTGAACGACTGGAGCTAGCTGAACGACTGGAGCTAGCTGAACGACTGGAGCTAGCTGAATTAGCAGCAGCACAGGTCTCTGCACCTGAAGCCTTTGTTTCGTTGGACAACTTGCATCATGTAAACTAAAACACTGAACCAACAGTTTCTCCTCGTGTCTCCACCTTTACGGAACCTAAACCTGTTTAGTTTCACCTCCGTGTCCGTTGTTCAGCCTCTTCTCTCGCACGACGGTGCTCCAGCTGTTTTCAGTGATGGGGGGGCGGAGGCTCCACAGAGCGACCTGTCTGTATAAAAACAACCGTTAGCCGGAGCCGAGGCCGGGTTCAGGTAACACCTGCAGCCGCCACACTTACCGTGTCCCCAGCTCGTCTATATAAACCGTCACCGGGCCGCTGGTGGAAGGAACGTCTTTGATGGTGGCGTTGTAGCTCCGCCCACCGCTCTCCAGACGAACCTAAAGTCAACGAGGAACAAAATTACAATGAATTTATTCAACTTTTATTTAGCAGAAAGGACTGTGAGGACTGACCTGACAGCGATCCCCGACAGAAAACTGCATCCCTGCAGCGATGGAATAATCCATCTTATGCTGGGCTGCAAGAGAAGAGCTTCATCTTAGTCTTCATCAGAGCTGTCGTCTAAACAAAGATCTTCAACAGAGGAAGACCTCTCACACTAACACAAACTCTGACATTAAGCTGTTAAAGCTAAAAGCATCAAAACCATGGCCAGGAGCAGCATGATGCTAGCTAAAGTAGCAAAACTCAAGCTAAAAAAGGGCTAGCAAAAGAAGCACAACACCAGCTAAATGTTAGCTAAAACCTAAAAGTAATAAAACTCAATTAAAAGCTATTTTAAAAGTAGCTTTAGTTAACAGCTAAAAGTAGAAATCCTTTAGCTGCTAGGCTAAAAGCAGAAAAATGTTTGGCTAAAATCTAAAGCAGCTAAAGGCTAGCTGAAAGATAAAAACTGCAGAATGCTATCTAAAATAAGCAAAACGGTAGCTAAAAATAGCCAAATGGTTAGCTAATTTTAAAGTTTTAACGGGTTAACTAAAAGTTAAACTAAAAGCAGCTTCGACAAACAGCTAAAATAGCAAAACATTAGGTAAAAGCTGACCGTAACATGCTAGGCTAAAAGCAGAACAAAGGTTGGCTAAAATCAAAAGCAGCTAAAGTATAGCTAAAAGATAAAAACTACAGAATGATATCTAAAAGCTAAAAGTAGCAGAACACTAGCTAAAAGCTCAAACTAAATCACTAAGCTAAAAGCAGAAAACGAAAGATTCGTTTAAAGTAGTAAAACAAAAGAAAATGATAGACTGGGTAAAAGTACTAAAAAACTTTTTTTAAAAAAGCTGCTGTGAAAGTAGCTAAAAACGTAGCTAAAAGCTAAAACCAGTAGCTACAAAAAAACTGAAACACCTTGTTTTTACAACTTTTGTGTCATTTTTATTTTTTTATAAATCTTGTGTTTGTTTCATGTCTTTGTCAGGTTTTAGAAGAAATGCTGTATGAAGAGCGACTGTGTCAGGACCGGTCTAGGACCAAAGACTGGTCCTGATGTGGTGGAACTCCAGAAGGGCTCAGGTTTAG